TATGTGGGGGGTTGGGGGGTTTTTTTTTTTTGGGGGGGGGGATGGGGGGGTGTTTCCTTCATTCTGGTTCAAGCTTAGTTTCCCTTGTTTGCTTGATTTTTGCATTGTTCTAACTTATCTAGATTATACTTGCAGGATCACTTGGCATTGATGATGGAGCTTCTAGGCATGATGCCGCGCAAGGTAGGAGTGTCACGTGTTTTACTGATGTCTATTGCATGCTTATTTGCAAGATCATCTCTTTTCTGGATAAACTGAATGAGACCAAGATTAGCTATGCAGTATTAGGTTTTATGTACTTGCTGTGATCCTTTACTCTCTGCATTTTTATGTACTTGCTGTGAACATTTACTCTGTGCATACTTTCCTCAGATTGCATTAGGTGGTCGCTATTCTCGGGATTTCTTCAATAGATATGGAGATTTGAGGCATATTCGTAGGTTGCGTTTCTGGCCTCTTGCTAAGGTGCTTATGGAGAAGTATGATTTCAGTGAGCAAGATGCTAATGACATGACTGACTTCCTTGTTCCAATACTTGATTTTGTGCCTGAAAAGAGACCGACAGCAGCTCAATGCCTTAGTCATCCATGGATCACTGCTGGTCCTCGTCTGCTTCAACCTTCCATGCCAAGTGTTAAGCACGAGGCCAGAAATAGGAATACATCTGAAATCAAGGAGAAGGCTGAGAGGGAGGCTATGGAAGCTGGAGTAGGAAATATAGTTATTGATGGCGCATCAAAAAAATCCAAAGAATCACAACCTACCGAAAACCCTTCCAAAGTGACATGATATAATTCCCAAGTGGTGTTTAATACCAAACTTTTCACTTGTTATCTTTTCCAAAGCGGCTTGCAATCATCTGAGGAACATCAGCTTCCCAATTTTATTTGAGATCCATCCATGTGGTGTTGTGGAATGTGATTTAGGAATCATCAAGTCGTAGTGTGGTTGATTTGTCAGGTGAATGTTCCAGTTTTCGAAAATAGGCGCTCACAGGTGCTCAAACTAAGAAATACACCTCCCTCAATTTGACTCTGCTTTGATTTTCCTTTTTGTACAATGTACAAGCATTGTTCCGAGGGTTCATCATGTATCAGCCTTCTAGATTAGCCGTGTTATTTGGAGACAAGACATCTCGAGGTTTCAAATGTACATTTTACTGGATTGCATTTGTTCCATTGATTTCTTCTTCGGAGATGATGCTGGTTGCTGCGTGCTTATTCTGTCATGGTTCATGTTGAGATAAAGGTCAAGGTTCGATGCTTTTTTTCCTGCCCCTTGAGCACAACTAGGGTAGGCCTAAAGTAGGGTGCTACCTTCAAATATGGCTGCACGACAAAGCTGCCAAGAGAATCGAAGAGTCCACCTTCGTTTTTATTGAAGCAGGATCTCCAAAGCTAAGATAACCAAGGAATAAGAAAAGCAGAAGTCTGATAACTCGATATTAATCATTGAGGGAAATTGGTTTTTCTTAAGTGCAGCTTGCCATCCATCACAAAATGTTTTTTTATCCTCTCGGTGTGTTTTAATTTCTCTTCTTGATATAATGAAGGAAAAACAAAATAAAAGAAAAGAAAGGCAAGAGTTTGATAACTTGATTATAATTCGGTGTGTTTTCATTACTCTTCTTGATATAATTAAGGAAAAACAAAATAAAAGAAAAGAAAGGCAAGAGTTTGATAACTTGACAATAATCATCGAGGGAAATTGGTTTTTAGCAAGTGCATGTTGCTATCACAAGATAATTTGTTTATAAAATTTGAAGTGCTCTTCTCGGTATAGTGATCACTGAAGAAAATCTTTCATGTTTTGCCACGTCTTGAGGATATGTTTGGAAATCATCGGTGAAGTTCTTCCTGGTCAGTAGGGCTGTGGTTTGTTGTTTGCAGTACAATATGCAACAACGGTTTTAGTTTGGTACTTTAGTATCGTTGATTGAGGCAACCACCACTTTCTACAGATGGGGTGTGCCGGGTAGCTAATGCTGACTGTTCGTTCTTCCCTGTAGCACCACAATGGTCCAAACAGCATTTGAAGTAGAAGTTCGGCGCAACAGTCCAAGTCGCTGGTGCAGTGAGGTCTGTCTGCAAACAATCCTTTCAAAAATGGGCATAAGGAGCCTAATTCTACCACGGAGATGATTACCCATTTGATGACCCTGGAGGAATCTATGCCCATGGTTTTAGACCAAGTACTGGAATGCAACATTTTGATGCTGATGAAAGTTGGAGCAGCAATCCCGGACCTGTAGAGCTAGACCTGCAATCCGTCGCTGTGCATGAAATAGGTCACCTACTCAGATTTGGCCACAGTGAGGACCATCCAGGGGGCAATCATGTATCCATATTTCGAGTGTGCAATCAAAAAAGGAATCTGCAAGACCAGCTATAAAAGCCACATATAACTAAATTAAATCTGAAAGAAGATTGTAATATTTCTTATTGTATTAGCAAATACAGGATTTGGAGGTGGATTTTAAAATGTCTCGAGAAGGGGCACTTCCACATAATCTTATCTCCTTGTAAACACAGAATAACTGTAATTAAAGTTTGCCAACCCGCATGCTTTTTTTTTCAAAGATGAGAAAGATTAAAACGAGATATAATTAGTGTTCAGGAACTTGGAGTTTGACAATAGCCTATATTGCTAACCAAATTTTACAATCAAACAAAAGAGCAGTTAGAACTGAATTCGGAAAATTTAATTATAGGAAGGGGTCATTTTCACTTCTGAATTATATATATAGAGGGAGGATTTTGTCCTGCTTACGAGGAAAGTAAGTCCAAGGTTGTGCTTGTTTGTCTGCCATGGTAAAAAGGAAAAACATTGGAAAAAGAACCAATGGATCTCCAAGTATGTCAATTTCGGAACTAATTCTCAATTAAGGCATTCAGCGAATTGTGATGAAGACCAAAATATGGAACATTGGACGTAATTAAGAAGCCGCCAAACCAATACTATTCTTAAAGCTAAAATACAGGTGATCCACAGGCTGGCTATATGCATATGATGTGTAAGCTAGAAAAGACAAAACGAACAACAAAGATAGAAGGCTACATTGCCCAGTACGAGTGCTTCCAATATATAGGAGGACTGTGTAGTCGATGTGTAAGACCAGGTAAGAAACACATGTAAATAATTGTTAAAAGCAGGTAGCATGTACATATTTCAAATTTTCACTAATCCAGCATAATTTTCTAAAATTTAAAATTTATTATAATTATAGTATAGTGCTAGAGTTTAATGCCATACTCATGTGCTTGCTTCTATTATTAAAAGTTTCAAATTTATTATAATTAAAGTACAGTTCTAGAGTTTAACAATTTATTGTGATGATGTTATCATTATAAAATATTTAGATATGGAAGGATTCTAAAATAAACGAAGCTGGAAAGATATCATTGATTTGTTTTCCTCATTATAGCTAAGCTATTTGCTAGAGTAAGCTAAATAACAAAATTTAACTTAAGACCACATGTCACTGTTTTAAAAACTCAACAGCAACAATATTTTCTAGAAGCATGGAAGGTGTCTGTATTAGTATGTTCCTTTTTCAGTAGAATCCTTGATATATATATATATACAATATATATATATATATATATATATATATTTGTTATTTATGTTAAGAAAATAGCTTCAAATATTTGTGTAATCATAACGTAATTAGCTTTTTATAATTAAGTCAAAATTATAGTTAATGGTAGCAGATTTTATAGAATGTAAATCAGAATTCTTTCTATTTAATAAAAAAGACTCTCGTGGAGGGAGGTCATTCAGTCAAATTAACATGGTATCAAAGCCGCACTTTTGAATCTGCATTTCGCTGTCTTGCCTTAGTTTTTCTTGGGTTTTCTTGATTGAGTTTTGATCAGTCCTAGATACATAGGGCTCTTGATTTTATTTTATTTTTTTATTCTTGGTTGTCTTTTGGGTTTTTGATTTTCTTTGATTCCTCTTGTTTTGGTTTGCCAAGATAATGATATCAAACAATTCTGATTTATTTAATGTTCAATTCACTAGAAATAATTATTCTACCTGAAAATTTCAACTTCAAGTATTTGTTACAGGGAAAGAATTGTGGGGTCATGTGGATCGGAATAATCCAGTCCCAATCGATTCTACAAAGTTGCTTCAATAAAAGGTTAGGGATGCTCAGGTAATATCTTGGATTTTAAAGTTTGTTGATCCTCTTATTGTTCTTAATCTAAGGCCATATAAAATAACAAAAATCATGTGGAAGTACCTAAAAAAGGTTTGCTATCAAGATAACAATGCTAGATGTTTTCAATTAGAAAACGATATCTCTAATTATTCTCAATACAATCTTTCCATTTAGGATTATTATTCTGGTTTTCAGAATTTATGGGCAGAATATATTGATATTATTTATGTTAAAATACAAGCTGAATCTCTCTATATTGTTTAATAGGTTCATGAGCAAAGCAGACACGATTAATTTTTAATGAAATTACGATTTGAATTTGAGATTACTTGCTCAAATTTAATGAACTGAGATCCTTTGTCCTCCTTGAATGTTTGTTTTGGGGAATTACTGTGTGAAGATCAGCGTCTCTTTACACAGGGCTATTTCAAACAGGATAATTCAACTGTAGTTGCTTTTGCGGCTCAGGGAAAAGGAAAGGGTCGGAATATGAGCAATATACAATGTTATAACTGCAAAGAATATGGACACATTACTAACAATTATAGAAAAAAGTTCTACAATTATTGCAAACAGCAAGGCCATGTTATCAAAGAGTGTCTCATTCGTCCTCAAAACCGTAGAATAAATGTTTTTCACATTGTGGTGTCCGACAACTCATCTACAATAGTTGCATCTAGTACTCTTACTCCTGAAATGGTACAACAGATAATTCTTACAGCCTTTTTAGCCTCCGAGCTACAAGGTAATAATTCCAATTCTTAATTTTAGCTTGTTGATTCTGTTGCCTCAAATCATATGACCAACTCATCTAATATGCTTAAAAATATGAGTGAGTATCATGGTTCATCACAAATTCAGGTTACTAATAGTAGTCATATACCCAATACTACGGTCGGAGATATCACTCCAACTTTCAAGAATGTTTTTGTATCACTAAAGTTGACTACTAGTCTTATTTCAGTTGGTCAATTGGTGGATGGTAACTGTGATGAGCATTTTTCTTGTAATGATTGTCTTGTGCAAGATCAAGTGTCGGGAAAGGTAATCGTGAAAGGGCCTAAAGATAAAAGATTATTTCCACCGCTTTTTTCCATTCCTCGTTATCTATCTTTTAGTTGTACAACTATTCAAAATAAGAATGAAATATGGCATAAATGTTGAGGCCATCCGAATTCTATTGTTTTGTCTCGATTGTTGAATTCTAATTTGTTAGCAAATTAAACTAAATTTTCTTCTCATGATGCTTTTTTTTTACTGTTCTACATATAAATTAGACAAAAGTAAAACCCTTCATTTCCCTTCCCATGACAATCAAGATACAAAATGCTTTGATATCATTCATAGTGATGTTTGAGGTCCTACACCTATTATTTCTCATGCTCACTACAAGTACTTTGTGACATTTATTAATGATTTTACAGTCAAAGTACTTGGGTGTATTTCCTTCGTTACAAATACGAGGTCTTTTATGTTTTCAAGTCATTTTTTGCCTATAGTAAGACTCAATCTTCTGATGGTATTAAGATATTAAGATTTGATTTGGGTGGGAAATACATGTCACATGAATTTCATGATTTTTTACAACAAAAAGGTATTGTCTCATATCGTCCTTATCCATATACACCACAATAAAATAGGGATGCTGATCATAACAACCATCATCTTTTGGATATAACCTTATTACCCGAGTCTTTTATACCATCTAAATTTTGGATTGAAGCCTTGTTTAGTGCAATTTATTTAATCAATTGATTGCCATCATAGGTGTTAAATTTTGATTCCCCATACTATTGTCTACATCATAAGTCTCCTAGCTATCATGACTTGCATACTTTTAGTTGTTTGCTTTGTTCATTTGCCTTCTCATGAACGACACAAACATTTTGTTCAGTCCGCTAAATGTGTCTTTTTAGGATATAGTATTTCTCACAAAGGTTTTGTTTGTTATGATCTAAGTTATAGCAAATTTTGTATTTCTAGAAATGTTGTCTTCTTTGAAAATCAATATTTCTTTCCTACTCATGTGGCATCTTTTTCTGTTGCTCCTATTCTTCCTCATTTTGAGGATGTATCATCTTTTGAGCGGTTCAAGCATGGAATTATGTATGAAAGACGTCAACCAACTTTGCCACTTCTTGAGACTGACCCACCACCTAATACTACTCCTGAGATTGCTTCTAAGCCTTCTATTTATCAGTTTGCTACTCGTCGATCTACAAGAGTATCTCATCCTCCTAATCGGTATGGTTTTTCTACTACTCTATCCACTATTATCATTCCCTCATGCTACTCATAAGTTGTCCAACATGAGTGTTGGCAAAAAGCCATGCAGGAGGAACTTCACGCTCTTCAGGATAATTATACATGAGATCTTGTTTCTTGACTTTTAGCTGTTAAGCTCATTGGATGTAAATGAGTGTACTCGATTCAGCTTCGCCCTGATGGAACTCTAGGTCGATATAAAACACGATTGGTTGCTCTTAGAGATAGACAAGAGCATGGTGTGGATTATGGGAGACTTTTGCTCCTGCACCTAAAATGACTATAGTGTGCACTATTATTGCTAAGTTGCTTCCCAGGGTTGGCCACTTCATCAAACAAATGTAAAAAATGCTTTTCTCCATGGTAATATTAAAAAGGATATTTATATGGCACCTTCATCTGGTTTGTTCTCATAATCTACATCAGTTGTGTGTGAGTCAAAGTGGTCCTTGTATGGTTTTAAACAAGCTCCCTGAGCATAATTTGACAAGTTTCGCACTACCTTGCTTCGCTTCTCTTTTATGCAAAGCAAATATGATTCCTCTTTATTTCTTTGCAAGACATCTACTGGTTTTGTAATCCTCCTTGTTTATGTCAATGACATTGTCATTACAGGCACTGATTCTTTATTTATTAGCAACCTTCAGCACCATCTTCAGGATTGCTTTCACATGAAGGACCTTGGTTCTCTTACTTACTTCTTAGGATTGGAAGTTCATTTTTCTTCTTATGGTGTATTTGTGCATCAACATAAATATACTTAGGACTTGATTGCTTTGGCTGGTCTTCAAGATTCTTCTTCGCTGGGTACTCCTTTGGAGGTGAACGTTAAGTTTCGACATGGTGATAAGGATCTTCTGTCTAATCCAACTCTATATTGACAATTAGCTGACAGCTTGAATTATCTTACTATTACACAGCCTAATATCTCTTTTGTAGTTCAACAAGTCAGTTAATTTATGCAATCTTCCCGTCATTTACATTTGGTAGCTGTTCGTCACATTATTCGATATCTACTTGGCTCTTCTAGCCGTGGCCTATTCTACCATGTTGGTTCTTCTACACGCCTTGTTGCTTTTAGTGATGTCGATTGGGCAGGTTGTCCTGATACACGTCGCTCTGTCACAGGTTGATGTATGTTTCTTAGTGACTCTTTGATATCTTGGAAGAGTAAGAAACAAAATCGTGTTTCCAAATCTTTGACTGAGTCTAAATATAAAGTCATGTCGGCTACTTGCTCTAAGATTGTTTAGTTTCGTGGACTGCTTGCAGAAATTGGATTTCTCAAGACTACTCCCACTCTTTTTCATGCTGACAACATAAGTGAGTTTAGCTTCGTGGACTGCTTGCAGAAATTGGATTTCTCAAGACTAATCCTACTCTTTTTCATGCTAACAACACAAGTGATATTCAGATTGCTATCAATTCTATTTTCCATGAGCGTACCAAGCATATCGAAGTGGATTGTCATTCTATTCGAGAAGTCGAGGATACTCACATTATTTCTCTTCCACATATCTCCACTGACCTTCAAATAACTGACGTGTTTACCAAATCAATGACTCGTCAACACCATCAGTTTCTAGTTGACAAATTGATGCTTCTTGATCATCCAGCATCAATTTGAGGGGGGATGTTAGCATGGTCCTTTTCAGTAGAATCATTAGTTTCCATATACATATTTATTATTTATGCCAAGAAAACAGGTGTAAATATTGTATAATTATAGTGTAATTAACTTTCTATAATTAGACCGAAATTACAGTTAATAATAGCAAATTTTATGGAATGTAAATCAGAATTCTTCCTATTTAATGAAAGACTCTCATGAAAGAAGGTCATTCAGCCAAACTAATAGTCTATTTGAGAAAAAAATGAATGATATTGACCTATTGAGAATTTAAACATTCAAGACTCATTGCTTCCAGTATGGTAGATGACAAACTGTAGAAAATTAAGCTATGCTATGCCTAAACCTAACAGGGCCATAGTCATTTGAATTTTATTTTTCTCGAATAGTGATAAATTTGTTTGCACAATCACGTTGCCTTAATTGAAATAGTATAGTTTAATGCATACGTGAATGTGTGTGTATAGGGATGAGTATGAGAGAGAGACAGGTAAAACGAGAGAACCTGAGGCGGATTTATAATTGCAGCAAATTGGTCCACTGGATACATACTCCCAAGTTGTAAATGCTGCACAATAACACGGAGCAATTAGGTATATAGATTATCTTTTATTAAGTTTGTTTCAGAAAGTTCTGCCTAATAATATATGAACTTGAAAGTTCCTCCTAGAAATTCATTTGGTGCAAGCCTCCCTGACCGAGCTTTCTCAGTTAGTTGCTTGACCTGAAATTCCAAGTAACCAAAAATAAGATAAGCAAAGTAAAACTGTGGTCTTCACATTCAGAAATGTGGACAGTCAGTAATCAACAACAAAAAGGGAGAAGATCCTTGAAAAGTGATAAATAATAGTAAAAGGAAGGACCAAAAGTTCAATAACAGGCCTGCCCAAAAACAGAGAGCAAGGTGTGGTGGGGAATTCAACAATCATGGTTCCATAAAAATAAAATTTCTTAACAAACATGCAGGAGACACGTTACTAAAGTATGCATACCAAAGGTGTATCCTTTCCCTAGATTCTACAAGGCAAGCATGGATTTAGTATAAGAGACCAAAATCCACTAGTGAATTGAGTGAAACAGCAACAAAATCACACTACACAAAAATCAAGAAAGGAACCAAAAAATAATGGTCTTGAGAAGCAGAGAAATATAAAAGACAAACTTGTTTTCCCCTTTAATTTGCCATGGTGACAACGTTTCCTTCCTCTACCTCTGAATCCCCTTCCGCATCCACAATAATTCATAAACCCCATTTTTTTGTTTTATTTTCTTGCTAGAAAATAGGAAAGAAGAGAAAAGAGAGGTCCAAACACAACCTGAGAGGCCAATCCTCGCTGAAAACAACCCAAACCACTGAAAATTTGGTGAATAACCTGGAAAATGTGATGAGCATAAGAGATGAAGAATCGGGAAAAAAAGAAGAAAAGGATGGCATAAAGATGACAGTAAAAACAACAATGTAATAAATGCAATGGCTGAAAATGAGCTGAGATGACACAAAACCTTTGCCAAAGGAGAAGAAAAACAGTAGAAAACAGGGATAAAACAGTCAAAGAAACAGCCATAGGAAAAACAACCACAACAATACGCAAAATCACAATTTGTTTGCCTGAAACAGCAGAAGAACCCATTCATTGAGAGTGGAAAGCTGGGAAAAATGTACGGAAATGTTGTGCAAGACTTAAGGCAAAAACTGGCAGGAAAAAAAAAGTAAAAATAAAGAAAAGAAGCCTTTCCTACCACTTCATTGAGAGTGGAAAAAATAATCATAAATTGCACAAAACAGATCAGCATAACAAAGACAGACTAAGTTGTATCCCCAAGTCAAAGAGGAAAGTCATGAGAAAACCAAGACTATGAACAGAAAAATAACACCCAGCACGGCTTCTTTCATTGACAACTTCCCTAAACATCAATTGATTAACATGCCTTTCTCCAGGTGCATGACGAATGTAAAAATGGACTGAATGATTCAATACACACCAAGCATCAAACCCAACCAAAAAATTTAAAGGAAAAGTTGCATGAACTATCTGCCAACTACAACTGATCATTGAAACATATAACAATAACTTCCCTTAACAGCAGTTGATTATCATGGCTTTCTGTAGGACCCTGACATGAAAAAAAAGGACTAAACAACTCAACACACAACAAGCATCTAACCCAGCTAAAAGATTTGAAGGAAAAATCAATGACTTCTTATAGAATATTTGTCAAACTCCTTGTGTGCACAAGACAAAGAAGGCAGCTGAGACCAACCAAAACTCCATACATACTCAAACACATGGTTTCAATAATCAACAAAGCTCACACATTGTAGGAGTCCTTTTCAAACACAACACACACAACGAGCTTAACAAACGACAACTCCATAGATGTTTGAAAAGGCAGAAAGACCAAAACACCATTTCCACAACAACCACATAACAGATGCAAAACCTCAACAAGGAAACCTAACAAACATCTAAACACGAACCAACCAATCCATGTGAAAATAGAGAGAGAGAAAACACACAACAAATGAAAGCATGAAGAAAAGGGGAAGTTTTGTTTATTTCAATTGGCATTACCTAGCAAACCGCAAGTTCAAACAATAAGCAAAGGCAAAATGAATAGAGAACAAACAACAAACCAATCCACAAAAGGAAGAGCAGAAGAAATAAATAAAAGGCAATAAACTTTAAAGTGTAAATCATCTCAATTGAAATATATCTGAAGTGTAAATCATATCAATTGAAATAAAAGGCCACAGAGTAAGATAAAGATTACAAGATTACTTTGTTGGAAACTAATCTTTGAAGTGTAAATCATCTTAATTGAAATGGAAAACAAACCTTTCCTTTCAAAATTTAACATGACTTCCCTATTAGTTATTTTCAACATGGAAACTCAGCCTATATCCGCATAAGCCTTTTTCCAAGCAATAGGATGGTGCACCATCATTCTCATTCTACAGTAAACAGACCACCTAAAGATAATATAAAGACATGCTTGAACAAAACAGCCAAAAACTCATATGCCCTTCCAATCAAGAAATGAATTTATTGAGACAACAAATGTCTATACAGCCAAAAACTCATATGCCCTTCCGATCAAGAAATGAATTTATTGAGACAACAAGATAATCCTAGAATGAGAATAAGAATATTCTAAAATACCGGAACCACATAACAACATTCAGAAAACAGCATACAACAAAGTGCAAACATATACACACTTTATACAAGTAACAAGCAAAACAACAACCCCCGCATGTCATCTGAAGATAAACAAACTGATTGGTTCACGTTAAAAAACGAATCATACCTCAAAGTTACAAGCAGTAGCATTCATCTCCATTAAGTAGAAATACTATTCAGAAGCTAGTAGGATGCAATGCCAGCATTATGGTCTTTGGTGAGATTAGCTGAAGGACTAGCGCCAACACATTTTTCCTTCTCGTTTCTTACTGGAGGTAGAAGTCTGAATAGTGGAAGGATTGGCTGAATCCACTTTGGTTTGATCAGCTGAAGGATTACATGCACCCATATCTTTTCCATACTGCTTTTCAACTGAATGCACAACGGTCAGATTAACTAAGAGAGGGATTAAGCCTGCATCAATTCCATTCAGTTTTTTCATCAGAGGATCACAATTCTTTTGGTCACCAGCTAGTTCAGAAATAAAAGTACCATGATTTTCAGTTAAAATACCCTGATTTGATGATTTTTTTTCCATTTCAGCTGTTAACTGTCCAGACAGCTGCAAGGCATAAGGAAGAGGGTCCTTAATCATTGCTATCAGCTCCTTAGAGCTAGCTCTCGGTGCTTTAGCTCTCTAACTGCTTCATCAATACTTACAGTGTCTTATACTCCAGCAATTCCTGTATTTGTGATCTTGACGATACCTTTTGAGCATTTGATAAGGGTAACATGCCCGTGCTTATACTCCTGAGTTTCTACAGTTTAAGAGAGAGAGAGAAAGAGAGAAGAGAGGGAGGAACACATTTATAAAGAGAGAGAGAGAAAGAGAGAGAGAAGAGAGGGAGGAACACATTTATAAAGATGACGGTGATTTTTTTATGCAACTACAGAATCTCAAATAGTCAAGCAAAAAATAATTAAAAAAAAAACACAACAAATCATGACTAGCATACAGAATCTCAAATAGTCAACCAAAAATAATTAAAAAAAACACAACAAATCATGACTAGCAAATAAAAAAAAACAACTCACCTGTATTTTCATTGCCAAGCTTATCAGCAGGCCCCAAAAACCACATTCCCGTCAGCTAACTTGGAACATCCCTCTCCTGCATCAACCGGATTCCCATTGGCTTTGGGAATGGGAAATTAGCAGCAGGTCATAAAGACACGGTTATTGTCAACAGCCAAGTTCATGGCTTTTCTGTCTGATTTTGACATTTATGGAACAAGATGTTTCAAAAGGTACTATCCCGATAATAGAGCATATACTACAAGATACATAAATCACAATTTTTAGCTCGATTTCAAATAATTATATCAGTCACGAATGAGAATAAAGAAACAATGCCCTGATAGAAACTGATTACAAAATTGAACTGAATCGTTTACTATGTTAACTAACATAATTTCTTCAAACAATTCTCAAAATCCAGAATTAGAGAGAGAGAGAGAGAGAGATAGCACACCATGTTAACTAACACAATTTCTTCAAACAATTCTCAAAATCCAGAATTAGAGAGAGAGAGAGAGATAGCACAGGAATTACCAGCACAGAAGCGAGAGATGGTAAGGTGCTCGAGAACAAAATCGCTGAGCTCCACACGGCAAACCATGGAAGTCCCTTTCTCACAACTAAACTCTGCCATTTAAATAGAAGGAACATAGTGAGGCTCAAATTCATGTTCTATCATACCATCATAAGAACAGAACCTAAGAGGTTATGGCTGCAATAAAAGGCATTTTGTACAAAACAATTATCTAGAGGGATCAACAATAAGAAAAATCACAGACGAGAGGGATTAAATAACACCATCAACCGTTTATACAGAACAATTAATTGCCTCTTGAAAATTACCAATCAATTTGTTCCTTAAAAACATGTCTAGATTTTCCACCAAACATACCATCATAAACCCATTGCATTACCTTCCGTTTCATAGGAAAAGAAATGAAAAAGATAGTAACAAAACGATAACAGGACAGAAACCCTAACCCTATTCTTAGGGAGAAAGAATTCTACACTTAATCAAAACGCAAAAAATCGCATAGATAATTCAATGGCGAATCAAGAAGAGAAAACCAAAACCCGAACTCGTTTCGTTTCATCCTCTTGAGTGATTTCTTTCTGCTTGCTGTTTGAGTCCCAAAGACCCAGAATCCTGCAAAATGAATTGCTGATAATTTTTGTAAGAATCCACAGCATCAAAACACTAACCTTTAATTACAACGAAACAGATAGAATGGTAAGGAGATAAATTAATACCGTTTGGCAGGCGTTCAGTGAGAGAAGGGGTTGTATTGTCGCTGCATTATTCGCCTAGAGCCCGCCCGTATTCTCGCACCGAAATTTCTCATGAAGGATCTGAAACACTAAACCTGGGGCAAACCGCTATAAAAACAAAACGAAAGAATGAAAAGAAAGAGAGGGGAGATCTTAGTGGGAAGTCCAATTGATACTTCTTATATATATAGCGGTCGGGTGATATTTCTCATATGTACAACGGTCGGGTGAGCCCGGGAAATTACGCTAATTTAATGGGCTTAGTGGGCCTGATTTAAACGTTAAATAGGCTCGAATTATGAACACCCTCTAGGCCCATATTTGCTAGGCCTTTAAAGTCTCCCCGCCAAGAAAAAAGGACCTCCTTAATCTTATGTATCATCCTGGTAGGTACGCTGTTCTTGATGTAATTCTTCGTGCATTTAAAGAAATCTTTCTGTTTTGGATGGCCATTCCCAATAAATCTTTTCTAATAAAAGAACTTCTCCTGCTATTTTTTCACCTGGCGAAGCTTTTTTATCAGTTAAAAAATAAGACTACCGGTGATCCCAAGCATGTTTTAAAAGAAGTAAAACAAGAAACTACTCGTGGCATAAACTCGATCTAGAAAATAAATAAAAAAATGTATAATTTGATTAGATAATAAAAAAATAGATGATGAAAGTAAATAGATCAATTCAAACAAAAAAACCAAGATTCCAACAAAAAATAAATAAAATAAAATAAAATCAAAACCAACTCGAGTTAATCTAAAAGAATATACTGACTATGTAAGATAAATTACAAGACTAAGATGAGCCAAAAAAAAAATTAAAGTTTAATTCAAATATAAAATGATGAGACTGTAAGAAAAAAATTAATTTTAAAAATTATCTCAATTCAAATAAATAGAATTCAAATTTGAAAAATGAAAAAAAAATTAAAAGAAGGTGAAATTAAAAAGAAATTTAAAATTTAAAAATTATTTTAAATAAAATAAATTATAATCAATAGAAAAAAATCTGAGCTTGAAAGAATAATATATTAAAGTATTGCTTTGAAATTTTAAAGATATAAAAATATAAATTAAAAAAAAAAGAGAAAATGAATAATTAAAAAATAATAAGTGCTAAACTAGAGAGCCTTTAACCATTTGTATTACCTCATCACTGAAGGTATATCGAGATGATTAAAATATTGTTGTGAAATGTAATGTTTGGTTGTAACCTCCTTATGAAGGGTGTTTTAATCATATTTCATGTCTATTCAAATATAAAAATGCTCATGAAAGGACAAAAAAACCCTTAAAAATAGCTTAGTAGATTTTATATTTAAGGGTAATTAAGTTATTGTACATTGCTAAAAACTTACGAAGACTAGAAAACCCCTGTATGCAAGTTTTAAAACAAGTGAAAAACAAGATGCGAGACATGGCAAAAAATAGGTGTAATTTAATTAGATAATAAAAGAATAGATAATTACAGCAAAAAAAATTAATTTAAACAAAAAAATTCATAAGAACATGTTAAAAAACACAGTTATCAAAACAGTTGTGGGAAGAGTTAAATCTTTCAGTGATGATTTGCATTTGTGTCGGATGTTCTAGTCCATGCTTATTCATCTATTGCTGCTTGACTAAATAGTGAATTCCTTGCTGATCTCTTTTTTGGCAGGTTGCCAGCTCCTGTGTTACTGTTGTTGTTTAGCAGCAAACATTCTGTCTGGTGTGCTCGGTATAGCTTCGGAGATGTCACAGGTAAGCTTTGCGTGTTTCTTATCAGAAAAATTCTTCCTGAATCGCAATCTTCTGCAAATATTTAGCTCCTAATTGAACTAGACGAGACGGATCTTCCCAGAGTTGCCCTTCTTACAGCGATTGCTTGAGGTATTCCCGTTGGCTTCAGATGATGTGGAAGCGAGGAGTGTTCTCCGGCAAGGTTACTCGTTCGGGTTAGAGAGAATGATAAAAGCCCATCTAGCCTGTATCAGTTTGTGCTGGTTCTAGCAAGCAAATCTGAGATTCTTGAAGATGATCTTCTCAACCGACAGTTAGATAATTCCTGTGAAGAAACCAAGGACTTTACCGGTTCTAGCTCAATACAAAATACTGGAAGCACAGCAATATCCTGTTCTCTTATTTTTCTTGAACTTGTATTAGAAACACATCAATTTGATTTTGAAAAACTTTATGCACATCATACTCTACGTTCTTCTATTCTTTTCTCCTCAACTCTGATGCAGCTCATAAGAATAGTCAGTATTCTTAATCAGTGGTCCATCTTCCATATTGTTTGTGCGTGCAACACTTCCATTAATGCCCCAATATCTCAGGGAATCTCATGCGGTAGGAACACAACACGGGTCCCTCGGTGCATGGCTACATGCTGTAACTAAGATGAAATCTCTCTGGACCGTGAGGAAACATGAAATCCAACGATCAGGTGTGGTGAAATAATTGATCCCAGCTCTATAAAGTTGGCTATTGCCAGTCTTGATGCAAGAATTCGTACCCTCCCAGGAGTTTTGCTGGAATTTGTTAAAATAACAATCCAATTCCTGGAGGTGTTGTGGTGATGGGATGCCCTTCCCCTAAATGTCTATCCTGCCCGATGCAACCATGCTTAAAAGTGGAAACGATCAAATGGTAAAACTATAGCATCTCTGGTGCAGTTTAGGTCATGCAAATTTATGATACAATCTGGGAAATCAGGCTTGCACATTTTATCCTCCATGTATTCTAGTTTGCCCAATTTTCATAGTGGTTTAGAAGAGATTGTTAGCACAGGCACATAAACCATAACTCAAGACTTGCAGGATATTTCAAGACTATTAACATGAATACATCTGCAAGAATTTCGCAGTTATAGAACGGCAGTTCCTTTGTCTGAACAAACAATCTAAGCAATCACATAAACTCTTCAATTAAGGGCTGGTAAAAGAGCTTATATGCCTCCATAACTTCAAGATACCACATTGCTTCTCGATCCGGAAATGCCGAAAGATCGACCATCTTATGAACCTAAAATTTGAAAATAAACCGCTATCCACATGATCAAAGTCTAAACAAAATGTATTCTTTGCAGGTATTTGACAGAAAATAGGTGGATCAAGTAGTAAGTTCTATTGAACAATGTAAAAACGAATTGTTCGCAAGTATTTGATTAAAACTCGGGGGATCAATTCGTGAATTTACCTTAATCATAGGGGTCTCGCCATGACGGACAAAGTACCCTCCAACTACCATCACATACATCCCTGTACAATCCAAAATTCAGAAATAGACCCAAGAAAAACAAAGCGGTCCATGCTAAAATGCACCAATATATGCTAAAATGCGCCAAAAGAAAAGCTAAATAGAAACGGAAAAGCGATACCCAAGTCCCAGTGACGGAGACGGAAGTCAGCAGAAAGGCAAAGCTCGATGACACCAGTGCCGTCATCGAGAAGGAGACGACCGTCACCATCGTTGGAGACCAGAATCCCCTGAGAACAACAGCAGAGAGGAATTACATAAGGGAAGTGGAAGAGGGGTAAATGGGGAACCGATAAAAAGAAGAGGAACCTGTAACCAGGCACGTTGAAAGAGAATGCCGCCGAGAGTCAAGGCGTTTTGAGAAGGAGTCTCGCTGGCGTCTTTCAATTGGACGCAGAGCAGCTTAAGCGCTGCTAGGCTGTAATCCATCTCCTGGTCTCCACCGATTCCTCCTCTTCCCTCTCTTCTCTACTCTACTGTGTTGGCGAGTTATTCAAACGTTATTTTACCCGAAGGACAAATAGAGATGTGGGGTAAGGTGCGTTTGGTACCTGTAATTGTTCCTTCTTGCTACTTTGGTCCCTTTACCTGTAATTGTTCTTCAAACCGGACCAGTTACTTTCTCAAGCTGACCGTTTTCTCTCAAACTGTACCAATCTTTCTTTCTTTCTAAAATCACCATTTGTTTATGAGGTGCAGAAATGTTTTTAAAATTTTTCATTTTTTATTTTTTTAGTTTATTTTTATGTACTATATAAAAATAAAATTTAAAAAATAAATATTATTTTAATATATTTTTAAATAAAAAATATTTTGAAATCTGTAAAACTAGCTTAACGTGAAATAAAAACTTGTGATATCATGATTTGTTTGAAGGATATATTTGAAAATATAATAAAATTTATTTTTTTATATTTAAAAATATATTAAAATATTTTTTTCAAAAAGGTTATACTATCAGAAAATAAATAATTTGGCTTGAAGGGTTTGAGATAAAGGCCATTTGTAATAATTATTAGTAATATATTCTTCCGTAGGGGTTTTTTTTTTGTTCAGTGAAAGAAAAGTAAAGTAAAACACTTTCAATAAATAGAAGAGAGAGAGAGATAAATAATTAAGTAATAAATTAGAGTATGGTTGTTTTTATATTTTAAAAAAATTAAAAAAAAATTGTTTAAAATTAATATTTTTTAATATTTTTAGATTATTTTGACATAATGATATAAAAAACAAAAGAAATAAATAATAAATTAGAACTTGTTTGTTTTTGCATTTCAATAGTATTTAAAAAAATAGATTTTTATTTATTTATTTATTTTTAATTAATATTTTTTAGTATTTTCATATTATTTTGATATTCTAATCTCAAAAATAATTTTAAAAAAATAAAAAATATTATTTTAATATATTTTAAAAAAAATATTTTAAAAAATAACTACTATCACATACTCAATCAATTTTTAGGCCATGTTTATTTACTGAAAAATAGTTTCCGGAAAACCATTTTCAAACTTTCACGTGTTGATTTGTCATTAGAAGTGTTGATTTGTCATTAGAAAAGTTGGTTAATGGAAAATACTTTCTAATCACCGAAAAACATTTTTTAGTAAAAAAAAATTGCCTTAGTTTTAAGGAAAATATTTTTTTTTTTGCTGTGTTTGTTCTTCTTTTTCAAATGATATAATCAAACACTAGAAACTATTTTTTAACTTATTTTTTATTATATTACTAAATATTAAAAAATAATTTATTTTTTTTAAAAAAATTACTTTCCAATAAACTACCGCGCCTTATAAACAACTTTTAAAGACAAAAACAAGTCCACCTTTTCTTAGGGTTCTTCACCAGCTATTGATTGTAATAATTGTCAACGGAAAACACTTTCCAGTCGA